GTTCTCTGAAGTGACAAATCAAGTTTCTCTGTCTGGCAATCCAAAGGATGTGTCTGGCTTCGGTGGTTGCCAGGAGAACGGTACTTGCCTGACTGCATTGTGCCAAGTGTAAAGTTTGGTGGAGGGGGATTATGGTGTGGGGTTGTTTTTCAGGGGTTGGGCTTGGCCTCTTAGTTCCAGTGAAGGGAACTCTTAAGGCATCAGCATACCAAGACATTTTGGACAATTTCATGCTCCCAACTTTGTGGGAACAGTTTGGGGATGGCCCCGTTCTGTACCAACATCAATGCACACCAGTGCACAAAGCAAGTTCCATAAAGACATGGATGAGCAAGTTTGGGGTGGAGGAACTTGACTGGCCTGCCCTCAACCCAATAGAACATCTTTGGATTGAATTAGAGTGGAGACTGCGAGCCAGGCATTCTTGTCCGACATCAGCAACTGACCTCACAAATGTGCTTCTGGAAGAATGGTCAAACATTCCCATAGACACACTCCTAAACCATGTGGACAGCCTTCCCAGAAGAATTGAAGCTGTTATAGCTGCAAAGGGTGGGCCAACTCAATATTGAACCTTACAGACTAAGACTGGGATGCCATTAATATATATATAATAATATATATAATAAAAAAATTTATAATATATATATATATATATATATATATATATATATATATACATATATATATATATATATATACACACATACATATATATATATATATACACACATACATATATATATATATATATACACACATACATATATATATATATACACACATACATATATATATATATACACACATACATACATACATACATATATATATATATATATATATATATATATATATATATATATATATATATAAAATATACACATACATACACACATACATACATATATATATATATATATATATATATATATACACACATACATACATATATATATATATATATATACACACATACATACATATATATATATATATATACACACATACATACATATATATATATATATATACACACATACATACATATATATATATATATATACACACATACATACATATATATATATATATATACACACATACATACATATACATATATATATATACACACACACATACATACATATAACATATATATACACACATACATACATATACATATATATACACACATACATACATATACATATATATATATATATATATATATATACACACACACACACACACACACACACACACACTCCTAACAGTGCATTCAAAGTCTGAGCCAAACATAATAAAAAAAAAAAAAAAAAATCAAATTCAATTATTCTGTTCATCCCACTGCAGTACAAGAAACAAGATTGGAAAATACTCTAAAGCCAACTCAAACCACAGGCCATACCAAGACGTACAAGTCTTCTCCTACACAAAGCAGATTTGATTTTCTCCAGCAGCTTTAAATGAAAACAATACTGTAATTTTAGAGCCTCAGGAAAATTTCACGACTCTCATTTCAAAATATGAAAAGTGCCGATCTATGAAAATCACAGAAATGTGAGGGAGAAAAAAAAAGCCCTAGAAAAACATAGCAAGTCTGTGACTCCAAACTATTTTCATAGTTTATGTGAAAAAAGTTGGTTACTTAAGTTTTCTTTAAAATAAAATGTAAATAAGGCCCGGCTTTGTACAAGCTATCCACATGACAAAAGGTTCATATGCAAGGCTAACCACTTCGTACAAATCCCATTAGATTTACTAACATCACAGAATGTTAATTTGTTGCCTTTCGCAAGGCCAAGCCATTTCATGTTCACGGGCAACGGGACAAACCACATTTCAGACACCAAGAAAACCTGTCTCAAGAGAAACTCAAAGCTACCACTGTTGACCTCATCTTCTGAAAATGCCAGCTGCCTGGCTGTTATGCCAACCCTCCGGCCTAAATATTTGAGTCACTTACCCAAAATTGGTAAGCAGATAAGGACCCTGACTTTCCTGATCTGTACTTTTGTTATGGGTCAGACAAGTGTTGGATTCAGAGGGAGATCAACCATTGTGATCCTTTTGTTTCTCTACCTTTAAAGCAAAAATCCGGGCAAATCTTTTCTTTGTACCATGCAGTGGGGCTGCATAGGAAAATAAAAATGCTACATGAAGTTCTGTTTTAAAGCTGAACTCCAGAAAATGGCTAAATTCCCCAACAAATTGCAAAGAAGGAAGCCTTTATACCTATTCATCCTGACACAGTCTCATCAGACAGCACAGCCCAGCCTGAAATAATGGGCTTTTCTCTACTGCAGTTAAGTAATAAAACTACATCTTGTTCCTCCCCTTGCCTGTGATTGGACAGTGAAGAAGCAGTATTATGATTAGCTCATCTCGCTGTTCTCTCCTCCTGTTAGCATACGAGCACTGCAGCACAGCTAATTGGCAATTTGTGCAGCTTCTCTCCCAGCCTGCTGTACAGGGGGACTGCAAGAGGTTGATACCAAGTCAAACCCGGGTAGATACACCAGCTACATTTGAAAATTCAGAAGGATTTTTTCATGAACGCATATCTGCGTGAATTGTTTCAGCTTTAAGATAGTGGCAACAATGATGTATTAGAGACAATCAACACTCCCATCTTTACAGAATTGTTAGCTCTGTGAGGCTTCTATTTTCATCTGGTGATCCAGCCAGCAACTCTACTGTTTTTCAAAAGCACAAGCTCTCCAGCAGAATGTATCAGTTTACATGGATGAAGCAAGCCACTTAACACTGGCAGGGGTGTGTAAAATGATCAGCTTTTATATACAGGCGTACCTCAGTTTACGAACGCCTCGGTTAACGTAATTTTTGGTTTACGAATGAAAATCCATTGAAAATAATGCCTCGGCAATATGAACGGATTAATTGGTTTTCAATGCATTTACGATTTGTTTTTTAATCATGTCCCTGTACAGTACTATGCCTTTATAAAGAGTTTTGAACAGCTAAGACTTTATTCTGACCTCCGGAACGGATTATTTGGTTTTCATTGCATTTATGAATTCCTTTTTAATCATGTCCCTGTACAGTATTTATGCCTTTAAAGTGCACTTTATAAAGAGTTTTCAAACAGATAAGACATTTTTTTTTTTTACTTTTTTCTGACCTCCAGAATGGATTAATTGGTTTTCAATGCATTCCTACGGGAAACCACGTTTCGGTTTACAAATTTTTTGCAATACGAAAAGTCACGCAGAGCGAATTAAATTCGTAAACCGAGGTACGCCTGTATTCACGCAAAAACTTTTATCCCAAATAGAATTTAAAAAAAGCTTTGCTGTAACTGCTTACAACGTCTCAGCTAGAGCTTGGCTTCAATTTGTTAGTGCATCTAAATCTGCTAGTACGTTTAATGCTCCCCTCCCCCCTGACTGACAATGCTGTTGTCTGCTGTGCACCCATTGCTCACTCATCCGGAGTGGTGTCTCACTAATACAGGTGTGTTACTAGCCAGATCACCAGGTGAAATCAGAGGGAAAAAGCAAAATAAAAGAAAACTAATGCAGCCACCACCTAAAATTATTGGTAAGCTGTAATATATTACATTTTTGGTTTTGGGTTTAATAGTGTTTTAAAGAGACTCTGTTGCTACAGCATTTGTATCAATAGCAATCTTCCCATAAGATTAGATTTGCATTTATCATATTTTAAGCTTATTATGTAACTGTAAAAGCCTCCTTTGTGTGGCCCCAGTAGACAAAGTTGTCACTAAAGTGCCATGCTATTGTAATCCCCTTCAGTCTTACCCCAGCAAGCTCAAAAAAGGCTATGTAGGGAGATAAGGGTGGGGAGGAGGAGCGAAGCCGGTACAAAAGAGGAGAGGGCTATGCCAAGCCAAGAGTGAGGAGGCTGTGCTAGGAAACTGACTCTTCCTGAAGTAGCCACATTTTCTACCATGTTTAAAAGCACAATGCGAGTAAATAAAAAATAATTTATGGAAAGGGGAAAAAAAAAAAAAAAAAAAACCTTGATTTTTTTTTGTGCTTTTTGGTGACTAATTGTAGTTATGCAGGCCACACGAGTTGCATTACGAACAAATTTTCTTTAGAAAATCGGAAATTTTGTGCGTTTTGTAATTAGATGGTGCCACCATTGATTTCGAAATTCAACCAGCCAAGCCTTCAATTTCGCCTCATATTGCTACAGAAAAGAATTTTCGTGGCCAAGAATTTTCTTTTCTTTCCAGGTCATAGCTTTTTCAAAAAATTTCCAACATGCCCAAATTTGATGGTCACATGAAAATCGGCTGTCTCTGTGGCCTCACTAATGGTGCGAAATTCGAACGAAACTTCTTAAAAAAGATTTTCAAAAGAAAATTATTTCGGAATTCGTCCCGTGTATGGCCAGCTTAAGTGAAATGCATCTGTTCTGGGGAGCCTGGGAAGGTTGTGTTGACGTCTAGTTAAAGTTTTATGCAGATTAAGGCTAGATTCACATATGTGCGGGTGGTGCCGCTGCGGAGCCGCACCACCCGCACAGAGCAATGCGAACCCGCAGGCAGGTGCCATTAATTCTAATGGCATGCTGCCCAAGTGAAATGCATCTGTTCTGGGGAGCCTGGGAAGGTTGTGTTGACTTCTAGTTAAAGTTTTATGCAGATTAAGGCTAGGTTCACATATGTGCGGGTGGTGCTGCTGCAGAGCCGCACCACCCGTACAGAGCAATGTGGACCCGCAGGCAGGTGCCATTAATTCTAATGGCACGCCGCCCAAATGAAATGCATCTGTTCTGGGGAGCCTGGGAAGGTTGTGTTTGACTTCTAGTTAAAGTTTTATGCAGATTAAGGCTAGGTTCACATATGTGCGGGTGGTGCTGCTGCAGAGCCGCACCACCCACACAGAGCAATGTGGACCCGCAGGCAGGTGCCATTAATTCTAATGGCACGCCGCCCAAATGAAATGCATCTGTTCTGGGGAGCCTGGGAAGGTTGTGTTGACTTCTAGTTAAAGTTTTATGCAGATTAAGGCTAGGTTCACATATGTGCGGGTGGTGCTGCTGCAGAGCCGCACCACCCGCACAGAGCAATGCGGACCCGCAGGCAGGTGCCATTAATTCTAATGGCACGCCGCCCGCACTGGAAATCGCAACCGTACTGGGAACAGAGGTTCCCATACGGGCTGCGTTTTCAGAAGAAGTGCAGGGACTTCTTCCCTGCGTGTCCCGGGGCACGGGAGTCCATTCAAATGAATGCGCTCTCGTGCCCTCGCAAAACGTGGACCGGCGTAACGCGGCTATGTGAACCAGGGGTTACTGTGTTCATCATTTAACCACTTGACCCCTAGAAGATTGTACACTCTTTGTGACCAGGGCATTTTTTGCTACTCAGCACTGTGCCAATTTAACTGGTAATTGCGCAGTCATGCAACACTGTACCCAAATGGAATTTATTCTTCCCTGCGTGTCCCGGGGCAAAACGTGTACTGCAGGAATACGGATATGTGAACCAGGGGTTACTGTGTTCATCATTTAACCACTTGACCCCTAGAAGATTGTACCCTCTTTGTGATCAGGGCATTTTTTGCTATTCAGCACTGTGCCAATTTAACTGGTAATTGCGCAGTCATGCAACACTGTACCCAAATGGAATTTATATAGAAGTGCAGGGACTTCTTCCCTGCGTGTCCCGGGGCAAAACACGTACTGCAGGAATACGGATATGTGAACCAGGTGTAAAGCCTAATGTGCAACCTAGTGTGAATCTTCTAGGCTGGAATAAGCTGATTGGCAGGCCTGAACCTGGATTTGGGTGGACGGGATTTATTGAGACCTGGAGAAGAGCTTCATTAGAGTGCATTCCTGATCCCGATTTAATTAAATTACCGCTGAAAAATAAACACCAGATAATACAGAACCGTAAAATGAGAATGTTTGCTCCACTTCATAACTATCTCAGCCTGAAGTACCCTGGATGACTTTCTACCAGACCTTCCAATATCAGAACCAAACACCTCTCACTTGACAAACTACCACTTCAGACAGTTAAACACACTTTCCAATAAACAGAAAGCAGCTGTCACAGTTAATATACATATAAATACATTTAAGAATGGGCCTTTGATTTGATGGCAAATAACCTTGTCGAAGGTCGTTCTGAGCCGTGTTTTCAAAGGCATACCAAAAGGAAAAACCCATCTAGATGGTTTTATCTTATAAATCATATGTCATGTTTATTGCCAAGGCAGTGGAAAATTATCATCATACCTTTACATGATCAAGACAAACCTATCTCAGACCGCAAATTACATGAATTCCATCTGCTCACTTGGATCAGATAGATACAGACTAGCAGACAATCCGAACGGCATGAACATTTTTCATTAAAAACGGTACATTCGAGATAATGTGATCTTTCTCTTGTATTGCACTGAAAGATTAAAGGGAATGCTTAGTCTTTTCGTTGATATATTTTGAGATGTACGTGTAGAAATCAACTAAAGTAAAAATGATGTAAAAAAAAAAAAAAAAAAAATTATCAATGTGTGCTAATTTTTTTTAAACCAGCTTGGAGTTGATTCACTAAAACTGGAGAGTGCAGAATCTGGTGAAGCTGGGCATGGTAACCAATCAGCTTTAACTTCAGATCGTTCAATTAACCACTTCCAGTCCAGAAACATTTACCCCCTTCCTGTCCAGGCCAATTTTCAGCTTTCAGTGCTATCACACTTTGAATGACAATTGCGCAGTCATGCAACACTGTACCAATATGAATTTTTTAGCATTTTTTTTGAGACAGATAAAGCTTTATTTTGGTGGTATTTATTTACCACTGGGAGTTTTATTTTTTTTTGCTAAGTAAATTAAAAAGTCCAAAAATGTTGAAAAAAGTGTTTCTTATAAAATTTTGCAAATAAATATTATTTCATCATAAATCTTGGCCAAAATTTATTCCGTTATATTTTTAGTAAAAAAAAAAAAATTTAACCCAAATTAATTTATAACCAAAAATTATAATTTTAAACATTTTTTTTAAATTTTTTTATATTATTTTTTTTTTTTTTTTACATACTGTCACCCTAACAGTACAGTGTCACCATGGTGACACTGTACTACTTGTGGGGGGGTGATGAAGATTTTTTTTTTTTTTTTTTTTTACACCGATTGCTTTTACACCCATAAAGGATGTAAAAGCAATCATTTCTCCTTGCAGCCATAGAGAACTACTGAGTGAGCTGTGATTGGTCACAGCTTGTCACATGGTACAAGGCTGTTGTGAATAGCCTTGTACCATGTGACCTCTGTGATCATTCACACAGATTTCACACGTAGTAAGCAATGATGTCACAAGTGACATCTTGCTTACTACTCTGCATGTGATCACTGATTGGCTAATCAGTGATCACATGATCGGGACCTCACACAAAGGTCCTGTCCGACGATCGGTGTTTCACTGTATCCAGAGGACACAGCGGGCACCGTATTGCGGTGCTGCGCACTCCTGCACGCACAAGCAGGGTGCGGGGAGGCCGTTTATAAAATAGCCACCCGACCCTGCAGTGCCACCATCTGGCCGTTTATATACAACAGCCGGATGGGAGGTGGTTAAAGCTTTAACCTCCCCCCTTTTTTTTTTTTCTTTAAGCCTTACCTGGTGGTGAGTTTTGCTAACTTTTGATACTTCCCCACCCAGTGGATCCAGCCGGGAGCCTCTTCTTTTCTGGCAGCGCTCAGTCTCATATCGCCAGGTTTCTCTGTGACATCATTGCTAGGCTGCTGGCTGTTCTGGGTTCAGTTGGCACGTCCCAATGATGCTCTGAAATGCCCACCCCCTCCTCCTTTCCTCACTGAAAGGCTATGCCTCCTGGGACATGTGATGCACATATCCCGGCAGGCACTGCGGGAAGTATGCATGCCTAAGGTGAATGATAAATTCAAAACATTAACAATAACATATAAAGTCATTTAAAACCTCTGCCCCAAATTACATCACCAATCTTGTCTCCCAAATATCACCCAAACCGTACTCTCCGCACCTCGCACGACCTCCTGCTCTCTAGCTCCCTTGTCTCCTCCTCTCATGCTCATCTCCTGGACTTATCCAGAGCTTCCCCCATATCCTCTGGAACACTCTACCCCAATTTATCATACTATCGCCTACTCTCCTCACTTTTAGGCGATCTCTGAAAAACTTATCTCTTCAGAGAAGCCTATCCTGCCCTCAGCTAATAATGGAATCTTCTACTCCTCCTACCAGTCCATCCCCCACAGTTACTACCTTTTGTACCACCAGCCCCTCCCTCTTAGATTGTAAGCTCCAAGGAGCAGGGCCCTCCTAACCCTCTTGTATTGAACTGTATTGTTGCTGTATTGTCTCCCGTTATATTGTAAAAACTGTTGGCGCTATATACAGTGGGGATCGAAAGTTTGGGCACCCCAGCTAAAAAATTTGTATTAATGTGCATAAAGAATCCAAGGAAAGATGGAAAAATCTCCAAAAGGCATCAAATTACAGATTAGACATTCTTATAATATGTCAACAAAAGTTAGATTTTATTTCCATCATTTACACTTTCAAAATAACAGAAAACAAAAAAATAGCGTCTGCAAAGGTTTGGGCACCCTGCAGAATTTATAGCATGCACTGCCCCCTTTCTAAAGCGGAGAGACCTGCCAGTGTCATGGATTGTTCTCAATCATCGTCTGGGAAGACCAGGTGATGTCAATCTCAAAGGTTTTAAATGCCCAGACTCATCTGTTCTTGCCCCAACAATCAGCACCATGGGTTCTTCTAAGCAGTTGTCTAGAAAACTGAAACTGAAAATAGTTGACGCTCACAAAGCTGGAGAAGGCTATAAGAAGATAGCAAAGCGTTTTCAGATGTCAATATCCTCTGTTCCGAATGTAATTAAGAAATGGCAGTCATCAGGAACAGTGGAAGTTAAAGCAAGATCTGGAAGACCAAGAAAAATATCAGACAGAAAAGCTCGCAGGATTGTGAAAAAAACAATTCAAAACCCACGTTTGACTGCACGATCCCTCCAGAAAGATCTGGCAGACACTGGAGTTGTGGTACACTATTCCACTATAAAGAGATACTTGTACAAATATGGTCTTCATGGAAGAGTCATCAGAAGAAAACCTCTTCTACTCCTCACCACAAAAATCATCGTTTGAACTTTGCAAATGAACATATAGACAAGCCTGATGCATTTTGGAAACAAGTTCTGTGGACCGATGAGGTTAAAATTGAACTTTTTGGCCGGAATGAGCAAAGGTACGTTTGGAGAAGGGGCACAGAATTTAATGAAAAGAACCTCTGTCCAACTGTTAAGCATGGGGTTGAATCAATCATGCTTTGGTGTTGTGTTGCAGCCAGTGGCACAGGGAACATCTCACGAGTAGAAGGAAAAATGGATTCAATAAAATTTCAGTAAATTTTGGATGGTAACTTGATGCCATCTGTGAAAAAGCTGAAGTTAAAGAGAGGATGGCTTCTACAAATGGATAATGATCCTAAACGCACCTCGAAATCCACGGGGAATTACATCAAGAGGCGTAAACTGAAGGTTTTGCCATGGCCTTCACAATCTCCTGACCTCAACATAATTGAAAATCTATGGATAGACCTTAAGAGAGCAGTGCGTGACAGACAGCCCAGAAATCTCAAAGAACTGGAAGACTTTTGTAAGGAAGAATGGGCAAAGATACCTCAAACAAGAATTGAAAGACTCTTGGGTGACTACAAAAAGCGTTTACAAGCTGTGATACTTGCCAAAGGGGGCAGTGCATGCTATATATTCTGCAGGGTGCCCAAACTTTTGCAGACGCCATTTTTTTGTTTTCTGTTATTTTGAAAGTGTAAATGATGGAAATAAAATCTAACTTTTGTTGACATATTATAAGAATGTCTAATCTGTAATTTGATGCCTTTTGGAGATTTTTCCATCTTTCCTTGGCTCCTTTATGCACATTAATACAAATTTTTCGCTGGGGTGCCCAAACTTTCGATCCCCACTGTAAATCCTGAATAATAATAATGACATGCATGGCGAGAATGGGTGAACATTCTATTAAATAAAAGAGGTAAACAAAAGAAAAAAAAGCCTAATTCCTGCAGAGGATGGGTTGGGGGTTAAAGAGAGGATTGTGCTTGGAATGTTGAAGGTCTGCTTTAAGCTTGACAAAAAAAAAAAAAACGTGGAAGCTGATTGGTTTCTATGAAGAGCCGCACCAGATTTTGCACTCTCCAGTTTTAGTAAATCAACCCCACTGTTTTATAATTTAGAAAATAGTACACAGGGCACCCATTTGCTCATTTCATATGAAAGCTCTGCTTCCAGCTTTGAAGTACACCACAATGGTGTACAATAGAGAAGAAAAATGTGCTCAAAACTACTATAGTACCTAATCTATAAAGTTGGAGATGCCAAAATACAGCGCAGTATCAACACAAGAGTCTCAAATGACTCTTCTTGGATAACAAATCGGTCCATGTGTAGGAACTGTGCACCTTTAGTAATTTTTTCATTGTTTCGTCTTTGCCGATGTTGACCGGCCCAGAAGCATGACTTCAGCTCTGAACTCGGCTATCATTTCTGACAACAGAAGTACAAGCCACCGATTCCACTTCTACCTATAATCCTTCAGCAAAACCTACACAAAAGCAATTTAGAGTCTAGAGAAATGTTACAGCTGCCACAAAGACATGAGAAAAAGAAAGAGCTTCATTGTCTTTCTTTTTTTAGCAGCTTTTGTTCCAGGAAATAAAAATGTCATTCTCTCTCATTCGACAAAATTTCATTGCCTTCCCGGAGAGATGATCGCTCCTGACCGAGGCCAAACATCAATCAGCTAATTACCTTTCACAGAGAAATGTGATAGAGGTCAGCTCCCACTTAGCCAGATTATCAAAGCCTCGCATACGTTATCCATTACGAAGATCACCGGTTTTCAGAAAATGCCATAAAAGAAACGTACATAACAAGACAACGATGATGGAGATTAAGTCCAAGAACCTTTACGTTTGAAAATATAGAAAGCTTTGATGGATGTAGAGCTGAAGCATGACCCCATCTTCCTGTCAAACTCGACACTGGGAAGCTGGGCAAAGAAATGCTGCCAATGGCATTCATTACCTAACTGTTCCTGTTACGTCGCTATAGAATATGAAGTATCTTTTGAAGGATCTGCTGGAGGCAAAAGGCAATGTTCAGATTTTACACAAAACCATTTGAGATTTGCTAGTGGAAGGTTATAGAGAGACTGCCCCTGTATAAGGGCTAACAATGAGTGAAATCAGTTGGATTCGCTATAGTGATACTTGGTCCTGCAATTTTTTTTTATAGGCTAGATTATTCAACGTGAATGATTCGGCTAGAGGTGAGCTAGTAAAGGGGTCTATTGAACACCTTACCAGTCCACCTACATATCCTGTAGGTTCCAAGCCTTCCACACCTCTACGCTCTTTCTAGTCAGAAAGTGATTGGGCCAATGGTTGGATGGATGAAATATACAGGGGTTGAACAAAATTATGGAAACACCAGGTAAAAAAAGATGGTGTTGTACTGCCTTTGGCACCCAGGGAGCCCGAAATTCTCCTGTGAACTGACAAATATAAGTCTTGGTTGGTGGATAATGGAATTGAATACCACTCTTCATGCATAAATCATTCTCTAGTGCTTGCAGAAATGCCAACAGGGAAGAAAATTATCCCAAAACTTGTTCTCAAAAATTGACCATAGTGGCTCTATGATATTGAGGTCTGGCGACAGCGGCACCTGGGTGCGGTGTGAGAATTTTTCTGCATGCTCATTAAACCACGATTTGACAACATCAGCAGTGTAAATTGGAGCATTATCGTCTTGGTAAATGTTGCTGTCTTCGGGAAACAATGTCTGCACCATGGGGTGCACATGGTTAGCCAAAATTTTGTACATAGTTGCTGGCAGTGACTCTACCTTTCAAGGCGGAAAAGATACGACCAGAAGGTCAAAGAAACCCCATGGGACTTTGAGGGCAGAAAAGTATAAAACATACAATATGTTAAAAGACCAATAGTCAATCTTTATTTGTAATAACAAGAAATGGCCAAAAGGCCGTAAAGTGGGATAAAACATAGTATGATACCCCAATTAAATGAACCAACATATACCCAAATGGATTATGAATACACCAATGTAGATACATGTCTTGATTGGCAGTGGTGTATTCTTCCCGTAGCTCCCAACATGTTTCGGAACGAAGTTCCTTCCTCAGAGGAACATACTGGTATAGTGGTACTACAATACAATAATGTCATATCAATAATACATATAATGAAAATTACAATGTATGTTCCAGGCTGTAAACAGATATAAAACACGACAGATCAGTGTATGCAAATGCCTCCATAGATAAAAAAACTTACAATTGTTGAGTGCATCAGTACAGCTTGTTTCAATGTAGACGTACACAGAAAGAAAGATAGAAAGACCATTAACAAACAGAGGGTCTTCAGATTATTGGTATCCACACCTCCAAATTTCACAAGGCTACTGCAAGGATCCCAATGAAGCACCACCCATAGGAAAGGCCTATCTATATAAGATACATAAATCAACTACAGTTTGGCTCACTGACAAGTGAACACATGCGGTATAATAAGGGCCAAAGGCTGGAAGTTATTAAAAGTGATAATGATGACTATAGAAGTGCTACAGCACAATACATCCAAAAAGATATAACATAAAACACCCAAAATCACATGATAGGTGGTATGCCAAATCGGTGTCAGCAAAAAGTATGTATCTATATCCTGAGTATAGCAATGGAAAACAGCTGTGTTGAAATAAAGAACATTGCACCTGGTTACATAGGTGTGTCGATCACCATAAAGGTATGCCCAACAGAGGGAAGTCAAAAAAAGTTACTGACTCAATGGTAAGTATATATGAGTAAAAAGAGGAGGATGGTTCTCAGAAATGGCCAATGATGTCCCTAGAACAGGGGATGCACGCCCACTGCACAGGTGCATCATGGTGCAGCATGCAATCTAGGATCCCCAGACAGATACCTTTCAAGGAGATGATGGGGCCTGCGGAATATCAAGATATGGCAGCCCAAACCGTGATTGCGTCACCGCTATGCTTTACCATTGGTGTAAGACAATCCTGGTTGGAAGCCTGGGATGGTGTTTGTCACACATAAACACATCCGGAGGCTGGGAACAGTGTAAAGCTCGACTCATCAGACCATAGTACAGTCTTCCATTGATTGATAGTCCATGATTTATGGGTGATGCACCATTCTCTCCTCTTGTATATATATTGGCAGACAACACGCACTTTTGGGAGTACACATGCTTCAGCTATTGGGGTAGAAACTCCAACAGGTAAAAGAAATCCAGGTATTTCCTTCTAGTATTTGATGGGTGACCATCTGACTGTGAAGTAAACCTGAAAAGCTTAAATTTTGGGTCCCTGGATTTAAAAAAAATACAATTCATACTATTTAGGACTTAAGACTTTTTTTTACAATAGAAAAGAAAAAAATACACCAAATGGGATACAAACAAACCCCTGACTTTCTTTGCAGTTACACAGCTGTTCATCTACAGAAGACAACAGTAAAAATTGGTGTGTCCTTAACATATGCAGTCATTATAGAAGTGAACCCTTACAATGGTGGATAGAGGAAAATCGCCTACTTGTGTTGGTGGCGAGTGCCAGAGAGAGATCAATTTTCCATTATTGACAGCTCAAGGAACTCTTCAGGAGGAACCTTATGGTTAGACAGTATTGACACTTAAGGTAGAACTACAGCAAAGCTTTTCTTTTTTTCATTTTGGATACAGTAAGGGAGGGTTACAACAGGTCAGTTTATTCATTTGCCAATTGTGTCCCATTAGGGAGATTTACCTTCACTTTCTCTTGAATAGCCAAAACAGGAAGTGAGATAAAATCCCTGCAAATTAAGGAAATCCCTGGGGACCCCCCAGGACACCAAAACTAGTGTCCCCATTGGAACATTTCCCCTCTTTTATTTTTTAGGGACAACCCAAAATCTGGAGTTTTCTTTTTACTTTCACTTACGTTGATAATGGTAAACAGGACAAATAGAGAGGGTGACTCTCCCTAACAGGGTCACTGACAGAAATAAAAACCCAATAGGTGTTTTAATCGCTAAATGATTAGCACTTCTGCCTGGCAGTACCAGGGTCATTGGTTTGAATCCCAACCACGGCACCACCTGCCTGGAGTTTGCATATTCTTCCTGTGCCTGTGTGGGCTTCCGCAGGGTACTCAGGTTTCCTCCCACCCTCCAAAGACCTGCTGGGAGGTTAATTGGATCCTGTCTAAATTGGCCCTAGTATGTGTATGTATGAATGTAAGTTAGGAACCTTAGATTGTACACCTCTTGAGGGTTAGGGACTGATGTGAATGTACAATATATATGTAAAGCACTGCTTAAATTGACGGCGCTATATAAGTATCTGTAATAAATAAATAAATAAATAATCCAGTGGCCTCCTAACTAGGGCTCACCTTTATTTGGCCCTTGGGGCACCACTTCATCCACTGACACCAATAATAGGGCACTACTCTTCCCATTGATATCAATGATACTCCTCCCACTGTTACCAATGATGGGACTGCATTTCTCCCACTGACTCCAATGATGGGAACTATTCCTTCCACTGACACCAAGAACAGGACACCATTCTTCCCACTGACACCAACTATGGAGCACAAATCCTTCCTTGAATATCAACAATCAACCACTTATTCCTCCCACTGACACCAACAACAGGACAATAATCTTCACACTAAAGCCAGAAGGGGGACATTGGTTACTTCCTCTGATGTCAGGGCGTTTTCTACTCCCACTTGCCACAGTCCGGCCCCCCTAAAGCCTGAAGGACAGTAAACTGTCCCTTCATTTAGAAAGTTTGGAGACCCCTGTAGTAATCCATTACCTCTCTGTTCAAAACTAAAAAAAAAAAAAAATGTTGCCTTTAATTATACTGGCCATAAATGGATCAAAATGTGTCCAATTCAGTAGGGACTGGCCAAATTTCTATCCATCTATTGACATTCCATTTTGAGAGAAATTGATCCAATGTTGAATCTAATTTTTGTTTGATCGGTGCCTACAGCCATTTCAACTGCAGTACTGATTGGTGTATTTTGACAGCAAAGGAATCCCCGCTGTCAGAATACGATTGCACAGTGGGGAGGATTCCTCCATTCACTTCGCTTGTGTGGATGAAGGAATCAATTTGTTTTTTTGTTTTCAGACCAGCTCGCTCGCTGATAAAAAAAAAAAAATCCATCTATGGCCAACTTTATAAAGCAAAGAGATTTGAACTCATGACCTAAAAGTTAAAAAAATAACATAAAATAAAAAAAACCTTTTCTTTACAAAGTGAGACATTTTGCCAGAGGATATTAAACCAACACGCTTAGGTTTCCATTTCAAAAACCTGCAATAGAAGGAGGAATGGGATTAAAAACTCAGGATGCAGTTAAAGAGTCATTCCATTAGAGTAAGAAACCGTGTCTGAGGTTAATCCCTCCAAGCAATGTAAAATGTATGGGGATTTGAACTTGGGTTGTCAGAGTCGGTAAGCTGAACTATGTAAGTCATGCCTTTACAGAGAGAGCCACAATATCTCTGCTAAACCACATTCATTTACATACATTAATTTGTAAGTGAGGGGCAGACAAGTCAATATACAGCTGAATAGAGCTCCCAGCATGGAGAGAGCGCCACGTAATAGAAGTGAGCAGAGTAATATGTGCAAAGTAGCTTTAGAGTTGTGAAGGATAGGTGATTGGAGAAGGGCGCGGGATCTGGAAAGGACAGAACAGCAACGCTCAGCAAGGTCAGATCCCCTCTATAAAGAATATCTAATGTGCTCACATACTGCAGTTACATTGTGAATTCTGGAAGCAGCCAGCTAGGCAAACAATGAAGTTTAAAGACTAACATAACATGTAAATCCGACATATCACATTCCTGGTATGTGCCTGCTGTACCATGTACGTATATGATCAAATATCCTGTTCTCTTTGTATTCAGGGATGTTCAATTCATATCGCCAAACCCCTGGGACATGTAGTTCTGGGCACTGTGCAGGTATTTTTTTTTTTTACCTTTAGCCCTGCTGCGGTCAAGCAGCAGGGTTCGCCTATCAGGTGGAGGCATTCAAGCGGTAGTGCTGCCGCCCGATTGCTTCCACACAGCCCACAATGGTGCCAGCCTCCGCCCCTCTGCCTGCTATATGTCCCGGGCTCCGCTTGCCCATCTGCAGGCCCAGGACCAGTCCAGTGGCTGCCTGCGAGTATAGGGGAGGGAGGAGAGCAGCCAATCCGCTCCCCTCCCCTTCTTGTCCTGACCCAGAAGTGATGAAGTGAGCCTCCGCCCCCTGCCTGCTATATGTCCCAGGCTCCGCTTGCCCATCTACAGGCCCGGGAACAGTCCAGTGGCTGCCAGCGAGTATAGGGGAGGGAGGAGAGCGGCACATCCGCTCCCCTCCCCTTCTTGTCCTGACCTGGAAGTGATGTGATGTCACTTCTGGGTCCCTGTTGACAGATTTCGGGCTATTGAGGCCCGGAAAGAATGTAATGCGGTGCGATGAGCACTGCATTACATTCAGTGGTTTACATTAGAGACATCCAGGGTCTTGAGGCCCTGGATGTCTCAAAAAAAGAGAACCTAAGTGCAAGTGTTCCTGCGTTAAAAATGGCTGTGTGTATAAGTGGGTGCTGAAGCGACCATTGGCTGGAACCGAACAGAATCAGCAAGGGAGAATGTCACCAGCACACCGAGGATCATCAATATGGGTCCAAACGTTTTAATGAACGATCACAGTTACAGCAAGACAACGTTTTGGGGTCTCGCAGCACCCCTTCATTAGGCATGTGAGTCACATGCCTGGTGAAGGGGTCCTGCGAGACTCCAAAACGTTGCGTAGCTGTAACTATGGGATCATTCATTAAAAAAAAAAAAAGAGAACTTGTCATCAAAAATCATCACATAGGGGACTTTCTGTCCCCTATGTGATAAAAAAAAAAGTTATGTAACAAAACAAAAAAAAAAAAAAACGTTTTAAAAAATTAAGGTTACACCCAAGCATATAACCCCCCCCCCCCCCCCAAATTTTCCAAGGCCCCCCCCACCCCCACATATGTGAGCACGTACAAACGTAAAAGAATGCGATGGGGCGCTTGCGCATGAAAAAACGTCAATTGCGATAAACCTGTTACATATCGCCGCTCACACCAGAAATGAGAGCAATAATTCTAGCACCAGACCTAATCTGTAAACTGATGACCTATAAGGGGCTTTAAAAGCATCATCTATAGAAAATATAGGGTTAGTAAAGTTTGCCATTTCACAAGCGCACGCCAATTTGAGGTTTGACATGTTGGATATCCATTTACTCGATGCAACCTAGTCTTTTATATTTTACAAAAAAAATTGGATTATTTATTGCTTTTTGTGCCCTAATATTAAGTTAAGTGTATTTTTTACCAAAATTGTGATACTATCGTTTGACAGAAAAAATTGGACCTATCACTATTTTATTCTCTAGGGTCTCCGATTTCAGAAAATATATGTTTTGGAGTTTTGTGTAATCTTGAGGCTTTAAATTATTTTTTAAATGTGTGAAAAAAACGCAAAAACGGCTCTGGCACCAAAAGGGGTAAAGGATAAGCTGGACACTTCACTACCCTGACAAGCACCCAATCACTGCTCATTACACTGCAAGGTCTCGCCCCTCCCTGCTAGTCCCCGGGGGCGATGCCAGAGACAGGCAGGGAGGGGAGGAGGAGGTAAACAGCATAATGTTAAATATTAAACATTCAAGTCGCCATAAAGCCCCTTTTGTTTTTAAAAGCCCCCCGATATTACTTAAAGCAGATATGGTTTTGGTTAAAATGTAATATTTTTATTTGGACAAGTAGATTGTCATGAGGGACAAGTAGATTGTCATGAGGGACAAGTAGATTGTCATGAGGGTCAAGTAGATTGTCATGAGGGACAAGTAGATTGTCATGAGGGACAAGTAGATTGAGACACTGATTTAGTCCCTGGACAAGTAGTTTTTTCTATTCAAAAATGT